GTCAGCGCCGCAGGCCTAGCTGTATGTGCGCCAGGCGCGTCGCAGCGTAACAGTGTTTCGTGAGATATCGCGAAGCCTGTTACGCGAGACGTGGTCTGGCGTACATATAGCTAGTCAGTTATCAGGTATAACATTAACGATTATCAAAACGTTATAAGATGCTTATATGATTAGTTACGGACCCTTGATCTCGTTCGGATTTTTTGCGCTGTTCTCTAAAAACCAAAGCGCACCGAATAATCGACTACTCCGCCGAATCTATTTTTTTTTTTTTAAACATACACAAGCATTACTTTTCTCTGGAAACTCGGGTGTGAGACAGTCTCACACCAAATGGCGTGAGGCAAAATACCTCACACCAAACGGTGTGAGGCAAACATACCTCACACTAAATGGTGTGAGACCCTCTGTGCCTCACACCATTTGGTATGAGAAAGTATAACTCTATTTGGTGTGGGGCACAACGAGTCTCACACCATTTCGTGTGAGGTATGTTTGCCTCACACCGTTTGGTGTGAGACTGTCTCACACTTGAGTTTGCAGAGTTCCCTTCAAGTGTTTGAGTACAGCAGCAGCAGTTCGTTGTCGCAGAGGACGCAAGAAAACATACTTGGAGAACAGATCAGTAATGACAGGTAAGTGAAACCACTTTTTGGATCTTGGAAGAGGACCGATTAAATCAGCAGAGACAACACGGCTTGTTCCAATAAGACCGGGACGGTTTCTTTGTTCTTTCTTCGGCATTTGGCAAGTTGTGCAATTGCATTTGCTCACATAAGTCTTAAGGCCTTACCTCACAGTTGAGCCCATAGTTTAAAACTTGTTGTTCCTGATAATTGTTATGGATTAAAACGAGTCAGGTGATCAAAACAAGGTAATAATTATGTAGGTGGTTTCTTTTTAAACAAATCAAACAAAAAATAAGTTCCGGTAACTTTGGGTTTCTAAACCAACAACACTTTTCATACTTCAGTCATTTTCCCCAGTTATTGGCTGAGCGATAAGCAAAGCCTATTACTCCAGTGATGATCATCAAAAAGTTTCGCGTCTGTCCGTCTGTCTGTACTCACGATAACTCTAGAACGAATTGAGCTATCGACCTGGGATTTTCAGGGTCGTTTTGTATCATATAAAGACAGATCGAGTTCGAAAACG